GCTGGTGTACTTGTTACGTGAGAAAATTTTTGTTGAAAAAAACTAGCATTTTGTATGGTTGTATTTTAATTTTTTTTTTTATATTTTTTGGTTTTGGTTTTTTGTTTTATTTTTGCCTGTCGAGCAGCTGCCCAAAAATGTACCATTTGAGGCTTTTTGTTTTCTGTTTGGATTGTTGTGGTATCGGACTGGGCCGGGCTAATAAATGCATTCATCTGGCAAACCGCACGGTGACCATGTGACCGGGTTAAGAGGAAACCTTGGCTCGAGGGAAGGGTTCTATGGGTCTGCGTTCTTCCCTCGTTTCTTCTCAGCGGTTGATTGTCGCAACTGATGGATGGTGAAGTTGATTCAAAACAAGTTCAACAAGACAAACTTTGAGTGGCTGAAAAAAATGCCAACAACTTGGCTGAAAATGCAAAAGGCCAAACAATAACAAACTGTTTATTTCTTTGTGCAGAAGATAATGGGATCTCAAAAAAACATTCAGCATTCATCATTTATTATTTATGTATGAATTATATTGCCTAATTTAAATTTGAACATCATGAAGAACATTTTCTTTTTATTATACAGAAATCTTAACAAAAACATATAACCTCAAGTTTTGTATTGTCTGATTTTTATTATCGGAGAAATTGAAATGCATCGCACAAAAATAAACGTAGATATTTTGCATTGTAATTGGCGCAAACTTGTCTGATGCTCTTTTTATACTTCGCCTGCTCCTCTTGGACCTGAATTGAATTTCAATTAACGCTCAAATTGCTTACAAATTCCACTTGCCATTCCAATTTCAATAACGAAAAATAATAAATAAATGAAAACAGCGCACAAAATAATAAGAGCTCAATGCAAACAAATGCGCATGAAATTAATTTGAAGGAAAAATTGCCAAATACCGAAAGCAAGCAACTCCGGAGCAACAAAAAAGTTTAATAAAATGAATGGCACAATGGAAACGAATTAAATTAAAATAAAGTGACTTGCTTTTGATTTATGCGTTGATAATGTGACTTTTGGCACTACGCTAAAACACAAATCAGTCCATTTAATTCGAGAAGCTGCTCTAATGAATTAAGTAAAGCGAAATAACCCCGACTCTGATGTTGCCAAAAAGTCGAGACTTATAGTCAATAAAAAGTTTTTCAAGAACCCGTTAAAAGGACTTAATGTGAATAAATGCAAATTAATTATCTTTCACCTAGACCTAAACTAGAAAAATTATCAATTTCAACTCCCTTGTTATTCAAACTGATTGCGAAATTGAATCCATAGATAGTTTCAAAATCTAACAAGTTAACCTCGTGAGTTAGAACCCATAAATAAGCTTTTTTAAGCCACCATTATCTAATTAGAGATTGCATTATAAACGGTTTTGAAACAAGTCAGGGGTAAAAAATCCAGCAATTTGTAACCACGTCAGAGCCTTTTCTGATTTACAAGTGCGCAATTTCTCGTAGAAAATTGCGAAAATCACCATGCACAAGTCAAACTAAAATTAATCTTTATCTACAAAAAAAAACAATGTAGACACAATTACTTTTAAGTGCAGCTAAAAATGAAGTAATGAGATAAAAACAAGTGACGGGACAAAGGTTATTGATAGTAATAAAATGCGATTAGGAGTTGTTTTTGGGATTCAAGTATCAAGTTTTATATTTAGAGACTCGGTTCCGGTTATTAGGCAGCGTAAATGGACCTCCGTGACAAGCGATTTGCCGCAGTTGTAATTGCATCGAATGCGATTTCGAGGCACACAAACCCAGTCTGATGCACACGCAACTTTTGCGGCGAAATATGTGAGTTGGGTGGCATCTTCCGTGTTTGGCCAAATGCAATTTGTGGTATTCCGAAGTTGCCTCACTCGTTTCGATAAGTAATTGTGCAGCCAGCGCGACGATCGAAAGCCAACTCCTCAAGATGTTTGCAACTCAAAAAGCAAGGCAATGCAAAACCAACAAGTTTACAATGGATATTTATACAACACAAATAATAACAAAAATATTAAACATTTAAAAACAAAAAGTAAACTATTGATAGCACTACTTTTCTTAGAGAACCAAGTTCAAATCCGAAAATCAACTAGATTGAATTCCAAACCACAATTCGAAAGGGGTATTTACATTAATTTAAATGGCACCTTTACTTCTTAGAACTGTTTGCAATCTTTTGTATCTGGGAAATTCCGGTGTTCCCTTGTCGTGTCCGAGATTCATAAATATTTATTAGCCTCGCTTCATTTGCGGCTTCTGCACATTCTCAAATTAATTATTACGAATTAACACAAAACCCAAGAAGCACGCGTCGGATAAAATTAAAAGAAGAACACAGCGCAGGAATAACAGATAAATAATTAAATGAACTTATCGCCTAAGGCACTTTTTGCCATTTTGTGGTTTGGCTAGTTGGTTGTCCAGATCAAACGAATCGCGTCGATTGGGGATAAAGAAACGATTGTTGTTGTTCGGCTTTTTTATTTTATTTTTTTTTTTTTTGCTGACGCACATTTCACGAAAAATCATAGAAGTTCTGCACGTTCTCCGCTTCCCCGCTTGACCAGGCCATAATTATCAAAGATTTTGTTGGTTAATGAATTTATAATGGTTTTATTTTTATCTTCTTGGCGAATCCAGACAGGTCTAGCTCCAAGCAAAAAACAAAAATAAGAAAAAAAGAAAAACAACCTGGTCCGGCCAATCGTTTTCGCTGCTTTGGCTTTTGGCATGTGCCAAAACAATTTGCCACCTGCTGTCTGAACTTGAGCTCGTTTTCTTCTTAAATCGCATTTACTTTTACTGCAAGAATTTGTTTGCTCGGGGAAGAAACTCTCACTGTTCCCAAAAAAGCGACGGCCTGACATGTCAGGCGGTGTGTCAAATGTCTATCTAAATGGCTACGTGCCGCGGCCAGGTGAAAACCAAGTCCAAGTCCAAAATATCCGACGAGCAATGTCCATGTCCGGCGACATAAAATTTTAATGCAAAAACGCGAGTGGAAATTAAGCGGAGAACGAGATAAGCCGCCGAACTTTTACTCCAGCTTCAGATTCTTTTCGAGATGAGTAAAAGTGAGGCGAGTAAAAAGATTTTGTTTTCAAGGAAAGTGGAAAGTCAGAGGAGTGTCACAAAAATATGTGATATATGCTGTCCTAATTCAAAACCCCTATTGATAATTGATAATTATTAAGTATTTTTAAATAATTATTTTCTTATTTATTTCACAAAAAAAGCTAATAAAATAAAGCATTTATATGACGTTATTTGGTCATATTCAAATTTAGTTCGGTTGTAATACGGGGAATCACTGTCACGTTTATTGATTTATTACACCATATTTTGTCATTCGGCATTTCATTGTTAAGGTTGTTTACCAATTCAAATTTGCATATGAGCGAAAATATATTCAAAATTGTCAATGAATGGACGGGCTTGGCAATCCAAATCGTTTATTGATTTGTTTGTTCAAGTTCAAAGGTCGCGTTTTGCTTACCAGCTTATGTAATGTAAACATGATTTCATTTAAACTTGATTTAAGTTCAGGTGATTAGTGACTCTATTGAGCCGATTTGTTTTATTAAGGCGATTAAAGAGGAAAGCTTACATGTTGAGGAATAGTTAATGGATGTAGATCAAAGAGGGAAACTGTGCAATTAGAGGTTATTGCGAACAAGTTCCTATTTTTAAGCGGATAAGTTTCAACAGATGAATTTGCCAAGCCAAAAATGACGCAAATTTATGATCTAAACAAATTATATTCGTTGCATGTGAGCAATTGTTCGTTAGCCGCCGATGTCGCAGATCGTTTCCGTTGACAAATTCACATTGTTATGGCCCGATCACGAAACATCGAAACAATGATCAGCCGGCAATATCTCAAATGCAGTTTTAATGTTGTGTAATCCGAAGATTTATTGACGCCAGTCAGCCGAGCGTGAAGTCCCCAAAAAACACAAATACATTTGATTTAATAACGAAAAAGATTTGCATCGCAACAACTTCGCATCGATCGGATAAAGTTTGGCTCAAAAAAACAAGAGCAAACTCGAACAGGTAGAGGTACAGATACAGATCGTTGATCTCTGGCGACCTCAATTGAGGTGCGTGGATTCGCAATCGATACAGCAGAAATAAGTTAAGATGGAGGGAAAAAACACACACAACAATTTGGCTAAAAGGGCCAACTGGCAAATGGGTCTCCGGGTGCAATTAAGACGCACAGAAACCAAATCGACTCACCACCGCTGAAAGGCAGTGAAATTCAAGAGCAGCAAAGCAAAAGCCGGCAGTCGGCAACGGTCAGTCAGGCCGGCAAATTAGCATTTAACTGCCACTCAACAGTTAGGCTCTCCTCCAAACCGCTGACTCCATATGCGAATGCGAATACGGGTATGACTAGCGGCAATTAGAACTGAACTAAAGCTAGAACTAGCCAGCAGGCTGAGTTTGCTTTCGACTAAAGGTTACCTAGTAGCAAGCAAAGAAAGTAAGTTGGTAAAATAACTGATTGGCAAAGAATATTCAATGGTATAAGCAGCTAGGCAAGCAAACAATTTACTTTCAATTATCTTATGGGCAAATAAAGTTACGTTTGGTATCTTAATTGTGTTTCACAGTCATGGGAATCGAATAAAACCTTCTCGGCGCAGAGCCATATAATTTGGGCATACCCCATTAAGGCTGTATCTGTAGGATACTTTGCGACCACTAAATTGTACGACGTCAACAGTTATGTAAGAAATTTGTTTTTCCGCCTCGCACACACTCTACACACTCTACTCTATGTGAGTAATTGACCCATATTTAAGGTTCTCAATGCGAGCAGTGAGCCGTGCGAAAGTTTGCGTGCCTCGAGCGTTAATGGCACACGAGTTGCGAGTTATGAATAGTGTGTTCGAACCACTTAGCTGCACTCGAGTGGGACGTCGACTAAACCAAGTCTTGGGTGATCTACACATGTTTTTCAGGCCTGGCGAATTTTATAAATATGTTTATAGTTACCTCAAAAAGTCCCAACAACAATCTTGAAGAGCTCTTGAGGTGTGGTAAGCGGAATGGCGCTGCCTGCAATAGATAAACAAAAGAAACTAATAAAATATTTGAAGAAGAAAAAACAACACAAAAGATATATCAATTTGGGAAATGCGAAGATCAAAAATGTTTTCACACGGCTCGTGAAATGGGATAATTTGACGGCAGCTTTCACATCGAGGGGGTTGCTTCGGTAATCGGTAGTCCCCCCGGAGTGCAATTATAGAGCGATTTATTGAAAATGAAAATAAACACTTGCCCAGAAAACAGTCAGACAGACAGACAGACAAATCGAAATCAAATCAAAACGCGAGGCGAAATCAAAACTTGCACAATGGGAGGAAAAAGCGAAACAAAGGCCAATCAAGAGCAATCAGCGGCCAAAAGCCAAGAGGCAACTCTTCGAGCTGCAGTTCTCCTCCATTTGGGATCCATCCACGAGATGCGTCACAGCGAACTAAGCTCGAGATACGCGGCGAGAGACACACGAGATACAAGATACTGAGACGGAGACGCAGATACTTTATGTAGGTTGTTTCGGTTTCCTCTTTCTCCAGTTGGATTTTTTTTCGCCTTTTTTCTTGGCTTTAGTCATGAATCAAGCAATTGTCGAGGCACTTTTATTCTGTTTTAAGCGATATTCATGCTGGGTTATGGGGCGGGGTAATTGGCCCGGCAAACGGGTTAACGCTGACGTTAACCCAGAAGAGTAGTGTGAAAAAGCGCGCATATCTCCCGGTTACAGATACAAATTGCGAGGGCCCCTCCCTGACTAATTGTTTGTTCTCCCGTCGCGATTCGGCGTACGTACGAGTATATCTCCTCTGTTATATCTTTTCTTCTTACTTTTATATTTGGGAAAGTTCTGGGCCTGACCTTGTTTTTTGTCTTTTGGCCAAGCGCCATTCGAAGACGTCGACAACTGTTGTCATTGGGTAAATAACCCAAAAGAGAGTACCCCTGTACGGCTAATAAAGCAAAAAAAAAAAAAAACAGAAAAAATATAGAAAAAATTCACTTAGAAAAGTAGGAAAACAAACTAGAAATGCCCGGCCAAACAATGCCGCAACATGATTCCGCACTTTGCCACTGTTTCAACAGATGTGTAAACAAACAGAGGAACAACTAAACCGCGCCACACTCCACAGACCCATTCCTATTCCAATTCCTATAACTATTCCCATACCTATTCCTATACCTATTCCCCTCTTCAGTTAACTTTCAGACGCGAAACTAATGCGACGGAACCGGCGACGCTGCGGTCCATTTCCATTGGCCAAACCAAATTGATCTTTGCCACCAGAAATGTGTCACACTTCCCCACAAGCAACTGGGTCAGATATAATGATGGCACCCGGAATGCCGAATCAATTTGGACACTCGACAACCCCAGACAAGTTATTCCCCGCGGTGATTCGACTGTTAGTCTCTTAGTCTCGAAAATGCACGCTGGGGTAATGTGTCTCTCTGGCATTGCGGCGGCTCAACAGGTTTAAAGACTGATTCGGGCATTAAATTTGAATTTTACAATCAATTAACATAATAGTTCACCTAGAACACGGACGATGCCTCCATCAATCATTTTTGGTCAAGAATATTGAGTGAATTATGTGCTCAGCCAGCCGTTGATTACCATAGAAAGGCAAACTTTGATCAACCTTTACTTTTTCTATTTATATTTAAATTGTAAACAAATAACATTTCAGTTTTTGAGTAATGATCTTTACATGACCTTGAAAAATCGTCACACCTGATTTTCCGTACACTTCATATTTAAAGAAATTGAATTTGAAAAACTAAACAGAATTCCTAGAATTTTGATAAAGCGAATAACTCGTAAAAATTAGTTTCTCGTTTAATAAACGTTTTATAGCTGCTTTTCATAAAACATTCCACGAAATCTTGTAAATATAAAAAAGATTAAATCATAACTTGTTTGTCTTCGAAATGTACGGAAGATTCCTAACAGAATTTAGTGGTTAGAAATATTTCTAGTTTTAATCAAACTTGCTACATATTTACATGTGTACAAGTTTATGGTTTTCCACTCCTTGAACATTAAAGTTAATGGGTGTAGCTCCAAAGTGTTCCAGATTCGCACTTTCCTCACGACTCGACTCGGCCACATCGATTGCAATAAAGTATAAAATATCTGGCCCATAAACCAATTGCATAAACGATGAGCTCCATTCGGCGTAGGCTGTACCTGTATCGATTGCCCATTTCGAGCCAACCCAGGCAGGCAACCTTCATGATTCCGATTCTGTATCTGTATCTGTATCTATGCAGAACTAGAGAGACCCAGGCCCGGTTCCGCCGACAATGTTGGGTTGGGATTTCGGCCTGAGACTGCTGGGGCTGCATCGTTGATAATTTATATGTGTCGTCCAGCCCCCACAATCAAGTAACCAGCACATTGCCTTTGTTTTTACGGCCACGGACGGGGGTTTGTGAGTTTTATTTCCGTTTCAGCATGCCCCCACATCGTTTTTCCTTTCGGCTCTCAGCGGCATCTGAGAACAATCTTACATATGTAATTGCAATTGCCGAGCCACTCACGACAGTCGAACCACCTAACCACTGAACTACCAAACCACCAGAACCACCGAACCACCGAACAACGAGTTCGACAACGAGTTGGGTTCTGGGTTTTCGGGGAGGGAACATTTCTACCTTTTAATTTGTGCGGCATACTACGACTTTAAGGCCCTACACTCAGAGAAATACTTATCTTTAAATGTATTATTATAATAACAAGAGTTTGTATCGTTATGAATGGCATTGATAGATCAAAAGATACAATAAATGCAATTTACAACTCTAAAACATAACAAACTGTATTAAATACTTCTTCTACTTTAAGTTAAGTAAGCTTTGCTTAGATGTTCTTAAGCCATGTTTGTTTTTGATCGCCAATCTCCCACCGATAATAATTACAAATATTTTTTTCCATGTAGGCCACAAAGTCGGTTTCTCCCCTGGCTGCCTCATTTTAATGCTGTGTAAAGTTCTAAGACCCCGACAATTGCAACGGAAGTGCGTTCATTATTTTTAATGATTTTATTTAGTGGCTCCTCCGCTGCTCTACCTTTTGCATTTGAATGCCTTTGGACAGGACTTCGTGGCATTTACACGGCGGACTCTCGAAACATCTTATCCTGATCTTGAGTTAAGGAATGCCAGTGTCTGGCTTGTTTTGCCCCAGCGGACCGAGACAAGTAATTAGTGGTGGGATAAAGACGGCGGACTGTGGATAAGGGGATCGGGGAGGCATAAACAAGTCAAGTTCTTTGATTCCCACTGTCCATAAAGATTAGGTATTTATGACCGCACCGACTTCCGTCCGTCGAATTATTGAGGGTGGTTTCAGAAATATCTTAATGTGTTTCAAACACAAGAAACAATCTTTCTACCTGCTGCCTCTGATTTCAAACAAAAGGCTCAAGATCGTTGACAGTCTTTTCCAGTCGTGTGACCCATGAACCCTCCATCGATTCTCAACTATCTTTATCTCTACATCTGTCTCCGACTTAGTCTGGCCAGCTTTAATTGCATCTTTCAACAATTAGCCAGCCGGGCTATTTTAATAATTGAATGGAAAACAACTGAGAGTCAGAAGGGCAGACTGCGCTCTTCCACAATTGACATTCACATGGCAATTGCCAGTCAACTTTGACCGCAGAATTAAACTACAAAACGAGAGCAATAAGCTGGGATTGATGGGGTATAAAAGAATCTTCGATGCACTTTACAAATATAACATTACTTTCAAGAGTTTATCTAAATATACAAAGAAGTTTTCTCAGTATGTAACCAAACTAAGATGAAATCTAATCGTATTGTTTTTATATGTGAAACTTGATTGAAGGCAATCAAAATCAGATTAAGGACTTGATACAGTTGAGTTGTCTATAACAATTACAAGGGAATACAACATATCATTTAAAGTCTATTTAACAATCTCAAAGTAATGGCATGCAAAAGATTTATCAGTTTACTTTATAATTTGATACCTTACATTGTCAAGGTTAATTGATAGCAGATTTGAGACCATAGATTAGTAAAGATATTTTTAATTGGATACAATTAAATGATATTCTTAGCAAAACCACTTTATTTAAACGATTAGTAAGCAGAACAACCATTAACTCCAAAGAGCCATATACCTTTGGATCGAACACCTGAATACCCTTTGTGCGAGTGCAACGAAAGGTGATCACCTGGGTTCAATGTGAGGGGGCACCGAACGCCCCTGACTGACAAGTGATCAAGAGCAAACACGGAGGGGGATTTCCAGGGGGTGGGGGGCTGTTACATCTGAGACAATTATAAACACAAATACACAACACGAGTGCAGCCACAAAGGGGTGAGCACAAAACGTTGCATGACACGCCAGCGGCAAACAATCGACATCAATTGTTGCATGTGATTTGCAAGTTTTCTATTTTGACGTTTCGTGAGTGGAGGAAAGGGGAGAAGGGGGTGGAAGGGGAGCTCTTGGCTACCGGGGGGAGTTCGATTTACATATTACTGAAATCGGTATAAAAGGCAACAAAAGCCAAAGGCAAAGCCTAAGCCGGACAAACGTCATTCAACCTCATCGTGGCAGTCGTCGTCGTCGTCTTCATTTGAATCAATTAAACCAGTTTGGGTCTACGACTGTGGGTATATGTATTCGGGGATGTGTGTTTGTCAGTCGTACCCGTACTCATTAGGTATTCATCTGCCTCCACTGATGCTGCACTTGATTGATCATTCGCCGGGCCAGGCCGCGCCTAAAGTTGGGGAAAAAATTCCATGAATTCGATTATAAGAAATCAAATTCTCATAGATATTATTGGATGGACAACAACCTAACCCCCTAACCCTCTCTCCACCTCTCTTCTTTTTTTTTTTTTTTTTTGAGAGCATTAAAAACCAACATCAAAGGTGCCAAAGACCGCGAGGGAAAACCAGTCCTAATACCAAATGCATCTCTCGGCTTTTCAGTTTTCGTTTTCCATCCGATCAAAGAATGCAAGTTTTTTGTTTC